GGGGTCTCAGTAACTTTTTGCCCAGACTGGCCTTGAACTGTGATCCTTCTGTTCTTAGCCTCCCAAGTAGCTAAGATTACAGGTGTGAGGTTGGATTTGCTTTTTTTTTGTGTGTGTGTGGTACTGGGGTTTGAACTCAGGGCCTGCACTTTGAGCCACTCCACCAGCCCTTTTTTGTGTTAGGTATTTTCGAGATAGGGCCTTGCAGAATAAATTGCCCGGGGCTGGCTTCGAACCGCAATCCTCCTGATCTCTGCCTCCTGAGTAGCTAGGATTACAGGTGTGAGTGGATTTACAGCTTGACTGCTGATTTTAGTGGCTGTCTTTCTAAGTCTTTCATTTTTTTTTCCATTTTTCTTTTATTATTCATATGTGCATACAAGGCTTGGTTCATTTCTCCCCCCTGCCCCCACTCCCTCCCTTACCACCCACTCCGCCCCCTCCCTCTCCCCCCCACCTCAATACCCAGCAGAAACTATTTTGCCCTTATTTCTAATTTTGTTGTAGAGAGAGTATAAGCAATAATAGGAAGGAACAAGGGTTTTTGCTGGTTGAGATAAGGATAGCTATATAGGGCATTTGTAAGTCTTTCATTTTTTAAAAGATGTATTTTAGAATGATGGTTTCAGAGTTATTTTGGGTGAGAGGTTCTTCCTGCAGCCACCCATGTTCACTTTTTCCTTCATGTTGGTTTTTCAGTTCCCTCTACCCTGCTCTCTTCAAATGTTCAATATAGGTCTTATAAAGATGGCTTGGGGCTCAAGCCCAACAGTAAAATTAGGGTATCCCAGAGCCTGGGACTAAGCAAGAAGGTGGCTTAGTTTAGCCCCACATCTTAAGGCTGCATGAGTGTTTTTCTGTTTCTAGATCCACAACTACAAATAAGTTATAGCCCAGAAAGCAGTTAGCTGACCCCTTCCCCTCCCCCTTTTTTTCTTTTCTTCTCAGCCTTCTCTCATACATAAACACAGAACTCTCACATCAAAGGGTGAGAGCAGTTCTGGATCCTTAACACCTGAGGGGCTGAACTCTGGCTGCCAGATGGAGAGCCTAGAAGCTGTGTGGCCTTGGCCCTGCATGCTGCATTTTCATTTTTCTTGTATTTCTTCTTCATGAAACTTTTTTATCTTGTTTTTGAGACTTGCAGTGCCTACTATTGGTGTGTATTTAGAACAGAGTAGTACTTTGAAACATGAACTTGACTAAATATTTTGTTTGTTTGTTTTATTGGTTCTGGGGATGGAACTCAGGACCTTGCTCATGCTAGGCAAGCACTCTACCACTGAACTTTGCTCCTATCCCCTGACTGAAGATTTTTTTTTTTTAACCTTGGAAATAACTTGATATTTTAGATACTTCTCCCCTTCTTCCTACTCCTCCTACTCATGCCTGGTGGAGGCATTGTGGAGGGTAGATTGGAAGACTAAGATAACTACAAAACTTAGAATACCATAGGCAATAAATGGTTAGGATCTGAATTAAAGGATCTAGATGGAGAGGAGAGAATGGATTTAGAAGTTATTACTTAGCATGGTGACTCATGCCTGTAATTCCATCTACTTAGGAAGCAGAGATTGGGAGGATCACAGTTTGAGGCCAGCCAGGCAAAATGTTAGCAAAACCTCATCTCAATTAATAAGTCAGGCATGGTGGTGCACATCTATGGTTCCAGCTAAGTGGGAGGCTGTACGTAGAAAGATCTTGGTCCGAGGCTGACCCTGGGCAAAAGCACAAGACTCTACCAGGAAAGAATAATAAACATAGGGCTGGGGGCATGGCTCAAGTGATAGAGCACCTGCCTCATAAGCACAAAACGCTGAGTTCAATTACCAGTACCACACTCCTCCAAAAGAATAATAAATGAAGCATAAAAGGCTGGGAGCACCTGCTTAGCAAGTACAAGGTCCTGAGTTCAAACCCCAGTGCCACCAAAAATAAAAGATAGTAGGTAGAATTGACAGATTTGTATAATTGAACTGGGAGAGGTATTTATTTCCAACTTAGAATGGAGATAAAATTCACTATTTTTGGTAAAATGCTGAGGCCTGACCTTCCTGGTGCTAATGACTGCTCCCTCAAAGGAGCCTGATGTTCCCAGGAGGAGTCTTCCACATAGCTTCTGGCTTTCTACCTGCTCTACTGCTTGTCCCTAAAACTAGTGAGCTACCCCCAATCCCAACAGCCCCACAGACTTCAAGTAGAATATTTCAAATGTAGCCTAGCATTTCTAGTTTCTAATTAGGGGTATTGCAAGAAATTATTTTAGGCCAAACAACTTTCGCAGGCAGCTGAATTGTAAATTGGCTTTTAATCTCTGTCCTCAGTTTAGTTCCATTTATACTGTATCAAGGAGAAAATTTGAAACAATTTGGTAATATGTTTTCTTTTTTGATTCACTCACTTAGTAAATAATTATTGAGTATATATGAATATGCCATCCACTCTTGTAGATACTGGTATCAGTGTCTGGAATGGACTTCTCTGCCTCCATGGAACTTATATTGTAGGTGAAGAGACAAGTAACAAACAGGTAAACAAATAAATGTGAAATAATTAGGGAGTGACAAGTGCCAGAGTGAAAATCAAAGTAAGATAAAAGAATAGAGAGTGATGGGGGGTGGGGCCACCCTCTGGTGGGCAGAAGGAAGTCTTCTCTGAGGAGGTGGTGTTTGAGTAGAGACCCAAATGAGTCAGCGACCAGGCCATGCAAAGATCTCCTGGCAAAAGCAACAACTGTCCACAGCTCTAAGTTGCTGAAGAGAGTGGCAGGGCTCAGAATGAGGCCCCAGGGGGCTGGAGTAGGGGAGTGAGGGGATAGAAGAAGGAAATGAGCCCCTGAAGTCAAGAACAGGACATGTTTTCCATGCCTCCAAAACCAAGTTATGGCCCTTTTCCAAGGGAAAGACAGTACCCAATATATTGTCCCCAAAGGGTAAAATTCATTGCAGACTTCTTTCTTACGACAGCGAGTGATAACTTAAACATGGTGGGATGGTTGGTGTTTTTTGTTTTGTTTTTGGCTAAGGACTATAAAGTAATCATAAGGAATTAAGGGTGTTGCTCTCCTGTCATCCCAAGCTAGGCAGGAAGATAAGATTGAGAAGATCTTGTTCTAGGCCAGCCTAGAAAAGTTTGTGAGACTCTGTCTCAATAGGAAAAAGCTGGGTGTTGTGGCGTATGTCTGTTACCCTAGCAATGGTGGGAATCATAAACAAGGTTGTGATCCAAGCCTGGGTGGGGAGTGCAACCCTATCTCCAAAATAACCAGAGCAAAAAGGGCTGCAGGGAGGCATGGCTCAAGTGGTACAGAGCCTGCATAGCAAGCACACAGCCCTGAATTCAAACCCCTGGTACCCTCTCTACCAAATTAAAGAAAGAAATTAATGTTGTTTAGCATTAATAGGGTTTGAAGCGGTTATAAGAAGTTTAGAAGGAAGAAATGACTAAGAAGTAAGATTAGATAAAATAATCTTGGAAAAGACGGCAACTTGAACAAAGATTTCTGACATTGTTCTTATCATTCCTTAATAAGGTGACTGGTAGTTAGAGAATGTCGTCGACCCCTGTCTCCTAAATATGCCCTGAATTTGACCATTTCTCAGTACTTCCATTGCTAATAAATTGTGATTAGAGACATAGGTACTTTAATTCATTGCACATACATCCCAGAGTCAATACAGTAGTGGATCTTGGGGGACTTTTCAGTTTACTTCTGGAAGAAGGCTTGGGGAAACATGAGGTATTTGTATGAGTTGGTCCCAAGATGAAAGAGGTAAGTGATTTCCTTTATCATTTCTCATGGGAGACCACTGACAATAATACTGGTACCTTATATTTGAATGATTGATAGGTTACAGTGTACTTTGATATCTGTGAAGTGGTCTGAACAGATATGTTTGTACTGCTTTTCATATAGACTCAGGCATAGACAGACCACCTGCCTGGTTTAAAGTCAAGTAGAATTGCAGCAAATTGTTTTGATAGGATGTTATTAAATAAAAACCAATTTCCCTTCTTTTTCTTGTCCCACCCTAATTGTACCTATCTAAGGCAACATGTATCAACAGTGTTGTGAGTATATAGTCTGCCTGCCTGCTATTCAATCCATCTATCCATCCATCTATCCTAGTCCAGTTGTACCAAAGAATTGATAAAACACAGAAATTTATTTTCTCACAGTTCTGGAGGCTAGAAAGTCCAAGCTTAAGTCACCAGCAGCTTTCATTGTCTGGTGAGGGCTGCTTTCTGTTTCCAAGATAATGCTTTGATGTTGTATCCTTTGGAGGGGAGGAGGCAAACAAGAAACTGCCTGAAGTCCCCACTCCCTTTCCTTGGCAGTAATGAGAGGTTAGATTGGACTCAGGACCTCATGCTTGCAGATAGGCACTCTGCCACCTGAGCCTCTGTGCCAGCCCCTGGAGCCAGTTTTCTAAAGGACTGGATGCCATTTACGAGCGAGGAGCCCTTATGGTCTAATAATTTCTTAAAAGACCCCCTCTTACTCCGATCTTATTGGCAATACTGGAGTTTTGGAGGGGACACATTCAAACCATAGCAATCTGTGTATTTCTCTACCTACTGTAGTATTCCATATACCTCTATAGTGGTTTATTTTCCCCTACACTTTACTGATTTGAATTGTATTTTGCGTATTACTTTAAATCCTTAGCCATATATCTAGGTCAGTACATCTAGATCTAATTCATTTCCTCTTTGTATGCTATATATTGTTGGATTTATTATAGAGCACAGTTGGCTTTTAAAAGGAAAATCCAGCATATTTAATGTGAAAAGTGTAATATCAGTATATGATAGGATTGTTATGTATTAAAGATTTATTTACTTAGGTATATGAAAAGGAGTGTATTTGTCAACAATATCTTATTTATTATAACTTTTTTACTTTCCTCACATTTTCACTTTTCCTTAATTTTCTTTAGAGTAAAAATTATAGCCTTAACTTATGATTCTTTTACTATGCACATTTAATGTCTTTTCAGGACACTATATCCGGGAGAAGTCTAAGCAAGTCATAACATTGCTGATGGATGATCAGTTGCTGTATAACGAGAGGGAAGTGGCATGTTGGACTAGACGGCGTACCTCCTACTCCATGACATTTCCTAAAAGATTACCTGGTATAAGTAACTCACCAACAGCATGTGCTTCTGTCCCCACACCAGAAAGTCCTGCTCCAGAGAAAAAGCATGAATTGCTTAAGACTGCAAGGCTACATAATAAAAGTGTGTATAATGAACATTGGCCTAAAATGCAATAGGTATCATTTAAGAACAATTAAAAATACAGGATACTAAATTTTATTACCAGTTCATCAATACCACTTTAGTACTACCAGTATGATGTTAAACTTTGTTCTATAGAGAACAAAGATGAAAAGAATATTCAGTAGAAAATTTTATCTATATTTTGAGAATATATTTATCTTGAATTCAAATAAAATATTTCAGCTTAAAAATATTAATCTAGTGATTATCCTACTTGTAATTATGATTCAAAATTAATATTAATAAGTGTAAGGTAAAGCAGTACTGTTTTCTGAGACCAGGGGTCTGGGTATATGAGTACTATATGAGCCTACAAATCAAGAAATTGAAATTTCCTAAAATTTGCCTCAAAATTGTAAAAGTGCTTAAATATTATTCTAGTATGATATTTTTATAATCCTTTCCTTTGCCTAAAACTTTAAATATGGACTACTGAAGTTTTTTTAAAAAAGGATTTATTTATAATGTTATAAGAGAAATTAGCAGGAGGAGTTAGGCATGGTGATACACTGCTTGCTTAGCAAACAGGAGACACTGAGTTCAATACCCAGTACCAGTGGTTAAAAAAAAAAAATCAAGAAAACGGAGTGACCTTTTCTACCAAATTTGCTAAAGCATAAAAGAATGTCATCATATTGCCCTTACTTCTCCAGTACCTGTTGATAAGCTGTGCATGAGGAACGGACAGTTTGAGGAAGCAAAAACATTAATGAAATGACTTAGATTACTGTCCCTTAGGAGTACTGACATCCCAAGTGTTTCAGGGGCTTGCTTGCTAGCCTTACTGTGTAAGTCTGTGGTTATGGACTGAAGGTTTTGTCCCTCCAAAACTCATGTTGAAATCTAATCTCCAAAGTGATGGTCAATTAGGTCACGAAGATAAAGCCCTCATGAGTTAGAGCTCTGGCTCACCCTCTTGCTGCTGTGTGATGCAAGAAGTCTGCAACCAGGAAGAGGATCCTCCCCAGAACCGAACTGTGCTGCCGTCCTGATCTCAGACTTTCAGAACTCTGAGAAATAAATGTCTGTTGTTTATAAGTCACCCATTCTATGGTACTTTGTTATTAGCAGCCCAAGCAGACTAAGACATCTATTAAGCAATATCCTAAAAAAGTTTCAGGTATTCAATACAAATAGCTAATTCCAAATAATCTGTGAAGTGTAGAAATTTTAAAATATTAATAGTAATGCCAGCACAAACCAATACTAATAAAAATCATACTTCATTGACTTAAGTCAACAGTTCTTAAATGTTCACTCAATTTATGCCAGGGGGTTGGAGAGATGGAAATGTGCTAAAAGAATGGCCCTTGTAAATGCCACCCAAATGCTTCTAAAAGCAGTAGAACCTCTTTTTTTCAGAAAGTGGACCTTTTCTGAAATTTTCTCATGGAAGCCTTGAATTAATACAGACACTAGGTTTAAGTATAGAGTGCCTGCCTAGCAAACATGAGGCCTTGAGTTCAAACTCCAGTACCACCAAAAAAAAAAAAAAGACGACACTAAAAGCATAATAAAATAACCAATTATGATCAGAGTTTCTTCACTGTTTTGCTACTTCTCTGTTACCTTTCTTGCTCTTCCTTCTCCCATTTCTTGTCTCACATCTTCCTCTTTCATTATAAACATATATTGAATTTCATTATTTGAAATTTGAATTTCTAGCAGAAATTTGGAGCTATATCAGTGAGAAAAGTAAAGTTTCTTTCAACATGGAACTAACAGCCTAGCATGTTCAAGGCAAGGCCCTGGGTTCAGTCCCCAGCACTAACCCTCCTCATTCCCTTCCAAAATACCCAAACCATAACATTCTTGTAATGGAGACATATACCAAACACATATAAACACAATAGATGTAAAACACATCTGATAGGAACAAGTCCTATAAAGAAAGTGAAAGAAGAGTCAAGAGGATAGAGTGACAGGGATTGCTTTATTTTAGGGCAAATAGAAGAGGTTATTTGGAGGAGGTAAATATTTGAACTCAGACCTGGTTGCAATGAAGAGCAATAGGTGCACAGCAAGCAGAGGGAACAGCAGGGGCATACGCTTTCACTCTGGAGCAGACGTGTAATTGTAGGCTTCAGAAATGAGTTCCTAAGTCTCTATAGTTGTAACTCATCTGTTTCTGAGCCATTTTTATGAGTTATACAAGAAACTCATTTATTGCTTTATAGTCATAGATTATGGTTTTGTTTTTTTAAATTTAAGATGATATCCCCCAGCATGACATATCTTACTCACTAGGCTGAGCTCTGAATGAGTTTTCACTACTTAAAAAAATCATGAAGCTGGGCATGATGGTACATGCTTGAGATCATAACACTTGAGAGGCAGAGGCAGGAAGACCATGAGTGCCACGCCAGCCTGGGCTACACAGTGAGGCCCTGTCTCAAAAAAAAAAAAAAAGATTTTATTATACTTATTTAATACCAGAAATGTGTACCAAGTACTACTTTCTGTCTGCCAGACCCTGTTCTAGGCGTTGGAAGCAAATTGGGTGTACTTCTGCTCTAATGGAAGTGATGACTTTTTTTTTTTTCTGATGGCACTGGGGTTTGAAATCGGTGCCTCATGCTTATAGGCAGGTCCTCTACCACTTGAGCCAGACTTTTTCTGTGATAGGTTTTTCAGGATGAGGTCTTGAGAGCTGTTTGCTCAGGGCTGGCTTTGAACCACAATCCTCCTGATCTCCTGATCTCTGCCTCCCAAGTAGCTAGGATTACAGGCCCTAGCCACCGGCACCCGCCTTGGAAGTGGCACCTTGAGATGCATTATGTGCATTACATCTGTTTCATAGTGAAACGTTCCAAGAGAGTTTTGCTCAATATTGTGTCATTTTAGTGAATCTATAGAAAGTACTACTTAGAGTGAGTAGTGAATGTTTGGCTAGAAAAGCTGTTATAAATTTGTTTAAAGAAATCTGTTAGGTTATTTTCTTTTATTTACCCACTTTCTATACACATATATATAATAGATTATGTGTTTGTATTCAGAAAAGAGTAATTGGATTAAGTAAATATAGCAGGACTAACCATTTGCATGTAGGTATTTGAATTTGCAGCTGTATTTTAAAGGGAGAAGTAAAATTGACAGACTGGGAGGGGTATGGGAAATTGACCCAGGGATATTCTTAGTGGGTCAGGAGAAGTAACAAATGAAAACTTGGATCAGTTAGAATTAAGTGTATCCATAAGTGATAGTAATAGAGGTCATAAAAATCCTAGTAGCTTAAATATAATAGGATTTTATTTCTGTCTTCTAAGACAATCCAGAGTAGGTGTTCTTGGACTGATGTGGCTCTCTCCAATGTCAGAGGCTCTAGGGCTCTTCCTGTCTTGTTACTATACCAAATTCACCATTAAGTTCAGCTTCCTGACCCCCATGTTCATGTATACTTCATGACTCACCACTGCTTGAGTGCAAGCCATTACATCTACATTCTAGCCAGTAGGAAGGAGGAGAGATCAAAAACATGAATGCCTCTTTCTGTTAAGGATACTTACTAAAACTGGCATATAGCAGTTTAGCTTACATATTGTTTAGTACTTAGTTACATGAACACTCCTAGTTGCAAGGGAGGCTGGGCAGTTGTGTGACCAGATGAAAGTAAATGGTTGTATTATTAAGAAAGAAGGGGAGAATAAATATAGGAGATAGCAAATAATCTCTACAGTAGTGGAAAAGAATACAAACAAAAAATCTTTTAAGCATGGTACTATCTGCTTGATTGACTAAGATTGATAAAAAAACTATAAATTTGAATATGTAGAAAAATGTGAGGGCTGGAGATATGGCTCAGTGGTAGAGTGCTTGCCTGGCACACACAGGGCCCTGAGTTCAACTCCCAGCACCACCAAAAAAAAAGAAAAATGTGGGCTGATAACTGTGAGTTCTCAGAACAATTAACACGGGGCATAATAAACAGTATTTCAGTATTTGGAACTTTCAATCAATAGGACTAACAATTAGGAACCATTGTAGGCCTTGAAGAACAGAAGGGTGTTTAGAATCACAGAACTTAGCTTTCCTATTACTGAAAACAGCTGTTGGTAGAAGATAATTCTTAGTGCTTTGTATGGAAATGAAGGAGCTGTGAGTTGGAGGGGGCCATTGTGAGAGACAGTTGTTTCATTCCAGGCACAAGACCTGATCTCAGGCTATAGAAGTGAGGGAATAGTCAGTCATGTTTAAAGATAGCACAGCTATAGAGAGGCAGTGGGTAAATGGAAAAGAAAGGGAGAAATTGAAAATGACTCCAACATTTGAGCTAGAGAAAATGGAAGCAAGTGATGGTGTCATGCAGGTAAATTTCCATCAAGAGGGAATTTAAGGATGTCTCTACATTATTTAGTTATAGTGAAATTGAATGCACTGCTACATGTCTGATTCCCAGGCTTTAGGATCTAGTGCTGAAACAGCTGCGCCTGGCTTCTTTGTGGCAAATTAGCAAAGGAAAAAGGTGCTTTGAAGAAGGTTTTATATATACACATCATCACTCCTTCCACCCCTTAACATTTCTGGATGTTTCCCCAAGTTTTAATTCTGCTAGATAGTTTGGGTGGTTTTTGTTTGGATGATTTTGATTTCGAAGGAAGAAATAAGCTGAAGGATAATTGTTGCTTGATGGCAAGACAGCTGCAAAAACATAGTTACAACTCAGTGTCTCTGAGCTATAGGCATTAGAGATAGGCCCTTCCTTAGAAGCTGTATGTATTACAAAAACTATCTCTGGAGACATTGTTTATAACTAGACCAGCAAAATACTACCTTTTTTAATTGTCTGCTCTCCCATAAAGAACTTCTTGGTAGTAGTAGTCTGGGCTGCATTAAATGTAACAGCATTATGTATCATGGAAGTATTTCCTTGCAAATAGTATCTGATTGTTGTTGTTGAACTGGAAGTTATATTGTGAGGTAGTTGTCCTTCTTTTGTAATCTAAACACTGATGTTGGTG